AAATGAAATCTGATCTGTGATGCTACTGTCGTTCGGCACGCTGCATTGAGCAGCCGCGTTCAGTTTTTAATTGTAGTGTCTGTTCTTTTACTGAACGAAATGATTTTTATTACTATAAAAAATCAAAACGACGGTGGGGGTCGGTGACAATAACAAGTGACATAACCGGTGTTGCGGCTTAACACCGGTATCACCGTCAGCACCGTCTATCGCGGCAAGCCTACTTGGATCCTGGTAAATCAGCACCAAGTCTCGGAGGGCATTGAGGTAGGATGTATCTTGCGGTTCCTAGGCCTTAACTAGAACCAATTAAACAGATTTACGCCACTGGTGTCGAATGCAATTAAAGGTGCAATAGGTTTTTATTGCTCTCTAAAAGATGAGCCACTTGAGTGCATTGAAATGGGGGAGGAAAAAAAACTATGCATAGAGTCTAATTAGTACAATTTTCCTTTATTGGCCCAAAGTGAAAGAGCTAAGGGAAAGTTCTGTGGGATCAAACACCTGAAAAGAAGTTGGCCTATGAAACGAAACCGTATGAGAGAGCTGGAAACAGAGAAAAGATGCACACAGAGAAAGATGATATACAATTGACAGATGGGTGGAAAGGGGGGGGGGGGGGGGGACTATGCATAGAGTCTAATTAGTACTATTTTCTTTTACTGGCCTGAAGTGAAAAAGCTAAGGGAAAGTTATGTGGGATCAAACACCTGAAAAGAAGTTGGCCTATGAAACGAAGCTGGTGCAAAGTATGAGAGAGCTGGAAGATGAACATAGAGAGAGATGACACACAACTGAAAGTGTGAGAAATAACTGACAGCAACAAAATGACACAGTTGAGCTGTGTAGTTTATTCTCAGACATTCTGCAGCTCGCGTCCCCTCGAGCGCATTCGAAACGCCGCCGCTCTGCTTGTCTTTAACCTTCAGGAACTGTCACGCCTTTGCTCAAGTATCTGCACTGACTGCCAGTAGCTGCCAGAATCAATTTCTGTTTGACCGAAAACGTTGAAAATGGCCTGGTCAACTGCTAAACCCGGCATAAACAGCCTTATATGTCCCTACTCTCTTCATAGCATTGAGAAGTCAATTAATCGGTTCCAAAAGTGATTATTTGTTGACTTTTACACAGATTATTTTTGCTGCTTTAAATAGAGTAAAATTAAATATATATACATTTATATATAAATTATATTAGCAAAATAACAGCTCCCTCAGTTTTACCAAGCACTATGTTGCAGGGTCTTTTTTTATTTTTTTTATTACACTTTTGCAGTGTGAAGATGATAACAGATACTGATTTTCTCACTTGATTTAATGAACAAGATCTAATGAATTACTCTACTGGAATAAACTAGACATGTATTTCTTCTGGTCTATTTTTAATTTTCGAGAGGACTTCAAATCTTTATTTTTTTACATTTATACCCAATTTTAAAATTTTCGGTTGAAATGCTTGCATCCTTTCTGAATATAGACATACAGTTGAGCTTGACGATATCTCGAAGTGACAAAACACTCTTTGAAAAGATTCAAAAGACACCTTGCAAATTTTGACAATCTGGCAACTAGTTTTTCCCCAGAAACAGTTATTATAGCAGCCTGGACTCACTTTAACCTGCGTAAGTTGCGAAGTAGCCAGCCAATCAGATCAAATCTTGAAGTTCTGAAAGATTATTGCCACTTTTAAGTGCAATATCCATCAGATAATCTGAAACAGCTGAAACGGCCACTTTTATGTGCCAAGTACGCTATGTTGTCACTTGTTAAGAGAGTTTCAGCTAAGGACTTGTCAGAAGGAAAAAGGAAAAAGGGAAAAGGGAAAATATCCTCAAACAGAGAGACATAAGAAGATTAGAGAGAGAAAGGACAGTACCAGAGGGAACCAGGCAGGAGGTGGTTAGTGGAGGCTCAGGGGAGGCTGGTGGCCCGGCCCTTGATGGCCAGGACCCGACGGGGCAGACAGGGCGTGAGCCCAGGGACATAACTCCACAACTTCACCCGACAGTCACTGTGGTTATGAAGGCCCACAGCGCGAAGGGAAGGGATGAGAGCGAGAGACAGAGAGAGTTGAAGGAACAGAGGCACATTAATGAAGAACAGTCAAACAATCCCACAATCCCCTGCCCGCACCATCTGTTCTACAAACAAGCACCCCCGAAATGCACAAAAGTAGGTCTTAAAAACATATTAGTCTGACTGAACATTTCTAAGTAGTCTACTGTCTGGAAAAAGACGTCACAAGAGAGTAAGAGCCTGAACTGAGTCGCAGAAATAGACGAGCAAGTCATAACAGACTCATTGAGTTGATGACCCATTTAGAACCTTTGGAGGGCCGTAAATAACTGGATATATTATTATTTCAAAATTACCATAGTTAAAAACCCTGTTCTTCAATGGGACATGAAAGATGTTCTTTATCTTGTTTTCCCAATGCACCTGTGAAGTTTTCTTTTCTCCTAATTTAGAGATTGGAAGTTCAAACTGCAAACAGGTTCGTTCAAACAAACGATTCATCTTTTCTTTTACATCATAATGTACTTCCACACATTATGTGACATTTAAATGCTTTAACACGTTAAAATAAATGTCTGTGCTGGCAAATACAGCCATTCATTACAGCAGTTAGATTAAGATTAATTGGTGTATTTAGTGAATTTTATGTGTTCCAGTTTAGTTTTTTACTCCTAGCATAATTGAGATAAATGTTCATGCCATATGAAGCTCTTACCATCGCCTATAGGCTTTTACCTGCACATTAAAAATGCCTTTTTTAATGCACATTAAAAAAGTTGATTACATTCCTACAGTGGCCGAGAGAACTCAATGTGCTGCAAATAAAATTTTTTTTAAAAAAAATACATGCAAATAGAAAAAAACACCAGCAAATTAAGAAAACATCTTCATCAGTTTGACAACACATGTGCTGCAAATACTTACAACACAACCAAATACAGAAACGTGCAGCAAATATGCACAGACCACATTGGAAATGTTTAAGGGAACCGCAACAAGTGACGAACATGGCTAGGACATGTTTATGGATGTCTACGCTGAAAGGTGAGATTTTTGTTTATTTTAACATTAGCTTTTTCTGTATATTGTTAGCCTAAATAAGCTGACGAAATACACAATTACTGTAACTGTGAAACATTGTGTAAGCTGGCTAACTTACTTTTACAACTTCCCTCACGGAAATTAACCACGTTTTTACTATTGAAAGAAAAAAAAAACATGGTTAAATATAGTTAAACCGTGTTAACCACAAATTAACCATGGTTTTGCTACACTAACCATAGTTTAAAGATGGTATTTGTACAATAGTAATCAATACATCAAAAAACACTTTTACTACAGTAAAACAATGGATAATTTTCATAACGGTTGTTGGGGTCCACTTGAAACATTTCCGTTGTGGTCTGTGCTACTTGCAGCACGTTTCTGTATTTGGTTGTGCTGCGAGTATTTGCAGAGCGTTTCTGTATTTGGTTGTGTTGTGAGTATTTGCAGCGCGTTTCTGTATTTGGTTGTGTTGCGAGTATTTGCA